CGATGGCGAGGCGCGAGGGACAAAATTCACAGTGCAAACGCGCTGTGGCTGTTCTATCTGTGCGGTGTCCCCCCCCTCGCCCCGCAGTGGCTCTTCCAGGTTTGGTCTCCCCCTCCAGTCACACGGGGTTGATTTGTTGTCGCAGGGCCTCTCAGGAGTTTGCAGCAGGAGAGCTTGTAGATTATCCGGGCATCCTAGTTTGTTTATTGTAGGGTCTCCTGTGAGCTCCGGGCCTGCCTAGGCTGGTGTTTACTGTAGGGTCTCTCGGGGTGCTGGGGCTGTACACACTGGCTTGTTTACGACAGGGCAAGGAGGCACTGTAGTGTGTTCACTAGGGTCTCCTGGGAGCACTGGTGCTGCAGCGACATGCTTGTTTATTGTAGGGTCTCTCATTTGCACTGGGACCACAGGCAGTTTGGCGGCTCTCTCCAAGAGGGCTGGGGCTACGCTCGCTCGCTTGTTTACTGTAGGGTCTCTGGGGATCTCGGCCTGGGGTTATTGCAGTGGGGTTGCCTAGGAACTCAGCATGCTGGGTTTGCCCTGAGCCCCGCCCCGACGCTCCTGGGTTTATTGTTGCAGGCTCTCCCTGAACTCAGTGGGGCAGGTTCCACATTTGACTATTTTCTGTAGAGCGTAGAATGGATGGAGCAGATAAATACAGACAATGCTCTGTAACAACTGGGGTGGGGGCGGGGGGGAGAAGGCTTGAGCTCTAACCGCTAGATCCCGCTGCCCTCCCAGAGCTGGGGATAGGCCTGGCCCCAGCTCTGACCCAGCACAGCTGCTACTCGGCCACTCTGCAAGCCCCTCAGTTGCTTCCTGAAAAGCAAAACCCCACAGGATGGGCAGCAGGGGGGCAATTAGGTGAAACCCTAGAGATCTGGCCGGTGGCTGGAGAGCCCCCTGGCTGGACCGTGACCAGGGCTGCTTAGAGGGCAGGGGGACTCTCCTGGGGGTCAGCATGGCCCAGAGATGGCAGGGGAACGAGAATTCTGCCTGTGGCGGCTGTCACTGCCCAAAACAGCGT